AAGAGTAATAGGAAGGACTAAAGCTCATCAAAACCTGCCCTCTGCAAGTGCAGGGGAAAAGACTTTCTTGTAGGATGCTGTCAATTCACCCTTGTGGTTGACCTCTGTTTAGTGTAGTGTGTTTAATGTCTGCTCCATTGTTTTCCCTAGGCTTGGCAAACTGACTGTATTGACATCATCTTGTATTTTGCAATAGTGGATTAAAGAAAGCTGCAGAAATGTCTCTGGCTCTGTTTAATGATGGTTGACCTCTGAAAGAGTGAGTTTTGGACAGTTTGTTTTATCAAACTTTCCAGAACTAGCATTATAGCTGATGGAGGGACATTAAACAGACTTCACATAAAACCCTTTTAGTCCAAAATATTTAATGACATAGTATGTGTAATTGCAAGCATTTAAACTGAAAGTTACTCCTGACAAATGTTACCAACAAGTATGCTGCTGTTTTCCTTGCTGAGTGTGTTCTGTAGCCATGTAGTGTCCAGTATTTATTGCTGGAGAGTTCTCTCCTCTGATTTCTTCACTGTAGCCAGTACCTCTATAATAGCTCTGATTCCTCTGGGAAACTTGTGTCAGAGGGACAGTTTAGAAAGGCTGCAGCTGGAAGTGAGATGTTGACACCTGAGCAGTTCACACAGACTGTTCTTCTTTACTGTGCACGATTAAGAACTTAAGAGGACAAGAAGTGCAAGTGGGATAAATTGGTAGCTTGCTTTTTTTCTGAGGAAATCTGTGTTTTGCTATGCACTTGGCATAGAGGACTAGCAAGGGGATGCTTTGGCATGGCAGGCAATACATGGGCTGTGGGCAAAAGCTGAATGTCTCTGCTCTAGGCTCAGGCTGGTAAGAATGTACTTACGTGTGTGATTGTATATATACAAATGTAATTTAAAAAAGATATGCCATAATTAAAAATGAAAAATAAAAACAGATGCTGGATTTACTAAATTTCTCCTTACTGGTTTCCTGTTTGTGTTTTACTTGACTTAAAGAGTTGTGTTTGGCTTTTTTGTGTTGGGTGGTTTTTTTTTTGTGTCTTTTTTTATTTTAGAGAACAGTTATTGCAAAGAAAAGTATTTCCTTCAGTTGAAACCTGGATTTGGGGCTTTAAAGATTTTGGGGTCTTGTTGTTCTTGTTTTAGTTTATTTATTTTTTTTTTTGTTCCTGGCTGTGCCACAGACTTCCAGGGAAGTCTTAGACAAATCATTGCACTTCATTGTTCTTTAGCTCCATATACTGGATTCTACTGCAATTACAGCTTTAAAAGGGCCTTAAGTGAAATAATCCTCTCTTGTTTTGCCAAACAGTTTGAGGAATGTTTGGCTGGCTGGAACACATAGTATCTTGTTCTGTTGTCAGTGATGCACAGATGTTCTGGCATAATTCAGGCCCAGGTAGAGGAACAGGGAGTCTTTTAAGAAATATTAAGAACAGTCTCAACCAAGTGTTGATGAGCTGAAGTGAAAGCTCCATTCACTCTATGTTCATAGTGAACGAGCAGATTTTAAGAGGTGCTTGCGTGCCTATGCACAAGCCTCTTGCTAACAAAACTTAATGGGACAAAGTAATTAATACTTCAATGTTCTGTTTTTCTACATAGGAAATAATAAAAATAAATCAAGGAAAATTCTCTGTACCAGCTCCCCTCTGTTTAATACATGAAATACAATCAGTAGTTATCCTACAGGAAAAACTTTATTCTGGAAGACACAGCCTTGAGCAACTTTAACTGCAATTCTTAGTGAATACTGGAAATTCTCTCTGCAAAGAGGACCCCTGGAACTGAACTGGGCAGCAGCTACTCTGTCCCCTCCTGTTGCAGCTCTGCCTACTATAGCTATTCCTGCCTTCCTTAATTATTCTTCTTTTCCTTCATTTGGAGGCTGAGCAGGTGATCTCTGAATTCTAGATTAGCCCCACAAAAGGTACTATGGAGATGGATCATTTCTAGAAGGATGTTGCCTGAAGAATGCAGTATTTTGATTTTTTGCTTGTTTAGTAAACTCACCCTTTGTACAGGAGGCCTTTGCTTTGGAAATCAGGAAAATAAAGAAGGTTAAAGTGATGAGGTGGGCTAATTTGTCTGCTGAATTCTTTTCTTAGCCCAGTGTTTTACTGGTAACTGAGTTATTTATATTAAAGCTCTAAGGGGTATCATGACACTGTTAAGAAGTGCAGTGTAGAAATGGCCAAGTCAATGAGAAGGTTTTGTGTTGTGTGGTGGTTTTTTACTTTTTTTTTTTTCCCCCTGATTATCTGCCAGCTCTTCTGATATTTTGTTTGACTTTTTTTATGTTCCAGGAGCATCATGATAAAAAAACCGTTTCTTTGGATGACAGTGACCTTGAAGCACGTCTCAATAGTTGGAATCTTGGGGTAAAATAGAGTACATTATCTATTTATTGACTTGGAATGAAAGCTCCTTGGTAATCTAGTCTGCATCTCTGAATATAGTCAACCAAACTTTATGTAGGAGTCTTTTAGAAGTGGAGTCTCTTAGGAGGAGTCTTTTACAAATGAAGTGGTATAGCTTGGAAAGGTTAATTTGAATATATCATCTTGGAAAAAAAAAACACATGAAAAATGCTTCATTTTTAAGAAATAAAACCCTGTATTTAAAATAGTTACTGTTAAATCAAGCAACATACTATTACTTGCTGGTCAAACCCAAGTGTCTTACTCTAGAATTTCAGACTGTTTCTTGATAACATTATTCAGAATTTATGCTTGCATAAATGAAAGAAGAGTTTGGCTTTTGCTATTGTTTTTTAACAGAATACTGAGTGTGCAGCTCTGCATTTTTTCTGCCAGCCTTTTCAATGTGTTAACCTCTTTCCTTCCCTTTCAATAATTAGCCACAGAGCTGGTCTAAAGGTTCTCTTACTCATGGAAAGAATAAGGTGTCTTTGTGTATTTGCTTTGCTGAGGAAAGACTTTACCTTTTTGGAAGATTCTGCCATGCTTTGGCTTATATTCTTGTGTGGCCTTGGCTTTAGAACGTGGGTGTGAATATGGTACTTCTGCCATGATGCTTGGATTTGTCCTGACTTTGATGTGTCAAAACTCAAGTATCTGGAAGAGAATCTGCTCTGGGGATGGGGAGGAGTTCTTCCTTGGATAGCTTGACAACTTCAGGACTAGTATTTATTGGATCTCAGCAGAAATGTAGAAGTTATCTGCCCAAAGCTTTTCATGTTTACAGCTAGGAGGACTTTAATCTCTATTAAATTTTTTTTGTAGATTCTAAACCACTTCTGTAAACACTTCTGTAAAATCAAATCTATTTTCAACCTATCATAATTTCTTTTAGAATTTGAACACATCCTCTATATTTTTGGGCTGGTGTAGCACAAGGTAAATACAGTGAGGCAGTTAATACATTTCTATAAGGAGAGATGAAAGAATTGGTAGCCAAAATAGATGCAAATCTGTGTTAATATTCTTTCTTTGCATGTACAAATGTAATATGTGGGGCTTGATCTATGTGTTGTTTCTGAACAGTTAATCAGATATCTGGACTTAGACATTTGAGGTAAATTTAAATTATATTTTAGTTTAAGGCTACTGTTTTAAGTCTTCGTGCCCTTGGTTGTACTTCCTGTGGTATTAGTCCAGGACAGTTCTGAGGTCACAGTGAAGTTCCTTCTCTCTGTATCTATTTACCACTGTAATTTCTTTTTTTTCTGTTGTATTATTTTATTTTTTCTTTTAACCTTTTCCACTGTACCATCAGATCATTAACCTATTTGATTAGGATTAGTATCCTCATAAAAATTCCATCTTATTAAGATCACTTTTATTTTAATAGAGTACTTTTTCTTTTTTTTTTCCTTCCTTTCTCCTTTTCTGCTTATTCTCACAGGTTGGAAGCTCACCCAGTTGTGTTTGGGAGAGAGGGCAGCTGAAGTTGGGAGGGGTGAGAGCTAGTTTCTAATGAAGTAGTTCAGCTTTGTTTACTTTTAAAAATAAAGACATGATTTCATGTTATCATTTTAATCAGTTACCAAATAATCCTTATTCTTCCTATGCTGTGGTCAGTCCAGGGGGATATGACAGCACTTAAAAATCTTGCCTATTACACTCAATGTTTTGCATTGATGGCCAAGTTCTCTTCAGTAAAAACATAAATGGTAAGAGAGAATATTAACTTTTTTGTGTCCTTCTTGGTGTTTCTCCTTGGTTCTGAGAGAAGATGATCTTGGCCTTGAGACAATCCAGGAGCTGCTTGACTGCTCTCTCCAAACTGAAGGTGGAGATCAGTGGGAATATTAGTCTGGGTGCATGGTATTGCTCCTTGGAGCTCCTTGTCTTTTATTCAGTCATACAAGAACAATTTCTGGCACTTCCAGATTTAGGTAACTACATTTTTCAGGAGTTGTAGTTGTGAAGTTTCACAAGTGGACCTCCAGAAAGCTTTCCAATAGCAGTCAGCTCCAATTTGTGAAAGTGCTGTGCAGGTGTCTGAACAAATCTGCAAGCAGCCACTTGCAGATTTTGGATATTTAGGCTGTATAAATACCTGGATTATAGGAGCAGATAGTTGTAATACCTTGAGCATTTAAAGCTGCTTTAAGGGGGGGAAACTTGCTCGTGGCCATTTTACAAATTGTTCCAATTGATTCTGACAAAGAATCTCTTTATATCCAGCATTTTTATATCAGTGTTGATCTGCCTGCTTGCTTATCTCTTTAATTTTATTTGTTTTGTATTTCTTTTTGTAATTGAAATTCCAGTTTGCAATCCTGATGTTGATAATGGATGGTTATTAAACTGTGATGATGCTCCACTGATACGGGAGCTCTCTTGGATAACAAATTGGCTACCGTGACACATAAATCAGTTTTTCAAGTCTGCTCTCCAGGGATGGTAATTAAACAAGTCACTAGTGAGAGACTTTGATTGCCTGATAAGACTTGTTGGGAGTTACCTGACAAAGAGGATTTGAGGTTGTAAAAGCAAGGTCTGGAAGCAGGTGCTGTTGAACAGTGTTTCCCTGCTATGGATCACGGACTCCAGTGAGCTCTTAAAGAGTCGGGAAGTTTTAAGTAGCTTCATACTTCAAGAAGAATATGTAATTATTAAAAATTTAAAAAAGCTTACTAAATGGCAGCACTTCAGAATCTGTAAGGTTTGAGCATGTGACATGCCTGCTATTATGTGTAAGACTTTACATCACCACAGGAGCATCTAGCTATCTTTTAATTGACAACATTTGCAGACCACTTGAAAAACTTGAATTTACAAGCTGTGGCACCTCAGATACAGAAGACCCTTGACCCAAAAGAATCCTTCAGTAATGGGGGAAAGTTAAGGAGGGAAACACAGAATGGCTTTCACTTAAAACAGCCTAGTATAAAGAGCAGTGGTTTTTAAATAGCTTTTCAAAATTTCCTTGGGTTTTTACTGTTTTTCTTTGAGTTTTACTTGTGTGTCAAGGAGTAAATGGTGACCCAAGGTTGCTAGTCTGGCAAAGAATGCGTGTTTCAATGTGATTTTATTGCAATGGTGGGGACAGAGCTGATCCTGGGGATTTCAGGCAGGTTCTTATACAATGATTTTTCTCTTTAAGAACTGTTGAAATTTTAGGAAGCTATTCTTCAAGCAATTATATATGGAGAATATGCTTTAATTCTAGAATATGCAGATATCTAGAGAAGTGCTCTACATAAAGGTGAGCAAAGCATCTTCCAGCTGTGAGTTACTGCTGAGCCTTTGCTGTTCCAGTATAGGCTTGTCTGGAATATAGTGACCAGTTATAAACTGGTAATTTCTTTCTGCCCTTATCTTTTGGGCTTCTTCTACTTTTGATATATTATTTTACATTTTTCTCTTTTTTAAATGTATTTTTAAGGTCACATACTAACTGCATTTTCACTCTTTGATATGCTGACATCAGTGGCTGAGTTTTTTAAAAATTATTATTACCAATATTGTGAAAAGTTTTTGGAAATAATTGTATTATTTCTTCACTAAGCAGAGAGGTCAAAGCTTAACAGACTATAATAAGAAGGCTTCAGATATTTGTTAGTAGTAGTAATAACATTTTCTACATGAGAAGTAGGACTGTTGCATTACTTTGCTAACATCGTTGCTTCTCATGAGTAAGAGTTTGGGAAAGAGCTAACCAGGAATTCTTCAAGGCAAATGGAAAAAATTCTATCAAATGTTTTATTGTTCAAATTCTTTAGATTCTAGTCATGCATGAGTAAATGTTTAAAAAAAGTTAAGTTTTCATTGTGATAAATTTGCCTTTCATACATGGAATACTAGTATAAGGTAATTTTAAATAAATTATAAAACATGGGTTTTTTTAGCCCTTATTGACTCTTATCTAGAGAGTGTAGAAAAGAAGAAATCCTTTTGTGTTGCCATTTGCAGGGAAACGTTTCAGAGCTGGAAGTTTAGATGAATGCAAGTAATCTTTGGTCTTGTTGTTACTTTGAACTTTCTTTGTCTGTCTTTAGGTATTTTAGAATATAATAAAAATCCCTCGGCTATCTTATTTTATTAGCAGCTGTAAATAAAATTCTACATGTTGTTGCCATTTTAGTACACTTCATAAATGGAAAACCTTCACCTTCCCTTCAGTTATGTCTCAAAAATACTTAAATATTGTGAAATATAGGTAGTGTCAGGTAAAAAAGATAATGGAATTAAGCCTGCTTGCTGCTTTTTTTTTCTCTTGTTTAAGCTTTTTAATTTGTAGACAACCAGAAATTTTTTATAGAAAATTCAAGCTATGTAAAGGAACAACAATGAATTAAACCCCTGCATATTCTAAAATGACCTTCCTGTATTTTTTTTTTTTTTTCATGATGCTTCTAGTACAATTTCTTTTGTCACTGAATTGTAGCCAATTTTAGGTGTGACAAAGCAACTCTTCTAAACATTCCAGGAAATTCAGCATTTCATTTTAGGTAGAAAGCATACAAAGATATTGTACCCTAGGGAAATAGCAAAGGGTTTTTTAATCAGGGAGAACGTGATTTTCCATCACTGGAATTCAGCCAGGACAAGAATTAACTCTTTACCTTTTACCAGAAGTGATGTGAGATCTTCAGTACAAAGAACCTGGGTGCTCGTGTCTTGCCCAGAAGAATTTACAATGGGAAATGTTATTGCCTAATAAAGGTTTAAGAGGACTTAGACCAAAGCAATTCCATGGTCAGTGGCTTGTATTACATCCTCCTTTCTTGGAGGAATGACGTGTAACGCAGGGTTAAAGGAGATGCAAGCCCAGGGAATTCTTGGGTGGCTACAGCAACAGTGTGTGTTATGCCTGTTTTGTGTACTTGGCTCACATCTGCCTGTGTCTTTCCAGTCTAGTTAAGCTCAACCCTTTCTGTACAAACCATTTTATTATCTTTTGTTTGGTTTCTTTGTCTGCTTACTATAAACATACCTACTGTATATGTTGTGGCGTTGGAGGGCAGCAACACTGCAAAAACTTTCCCACAGTGAACTCCAAGTGGTGTTGTGACTTCAAAAAATAAATTCAGCTTCCATGCTGACAAACAATCTTCGTGTGCTTTAATGTCCTTCCACTAAGACTGCAGAAGCAGCATTAAAGTGAACTTCCCTACAAATTATGATGTTAGATAAGAATGTCCTTACTCAAATTTCCTGAAGCTACTCAGCAGTTATTTCTGTGGGGAACATGCTGGCTGGCTGGGTTTGTTAGATTAAAGTAAGAACTTAGGGCAAGGTTCAGTTTGGTTGTTTACCATTTCAAAATCTTAAGTGTTCTTAACTCTTTCATGTGTGTTTTTTCCATCCTTGTTTTGAAAACAATCACATTTTGTCTTTGAAGAAGCTTAAGGGGGAATGTGCAACAAGCCTGCTGATCCAAATGTGGTTTCTTTGCCTGAATCTTAATATATACAACATACCTCCTGACTCTGTTACTGAACTGTAGTAAGCTACAGTCGTGCATTATTGAAGAGAAGTGCACCTTGATAAACATCTTCCAAAGAACGAAATGTGACTTGGAGAGGGGGAGAATGGAAGCAGAACATAAATGTTGTCGTGGTTGTGGTTATTTGCTGGGTCAGAAGAGCAGAAGCTTTGGGCTGAGTTTCTGGACTATCACAGCTGTAAAGCCTGTGTACTGTTTTCAGCCTGAGGGATGGAATATAGGTGATGTCCTGAGGGATGAGGCTTGTGGAAGTATGTAGTGCTCCAATTTGGGCTTTTTCTGCACTCTCCTTGCTTTTTGGAGGAAGCCATTTTGGCTGTTTACTTTTATCAGCGCTTCACTCATTGATGGCTTTTAAATTACACACTCCAAAAATGTTTAGTTCTGGCTGCTTTAGGTGTTGTTAAAATAAAGAGAAGGTGGAAATACTGAAGTTAAAAGTTGTGGCTAGTTTGCCTCAAATTCAGTTTTGGAATATGTGGTTTTATGCAGATTTCTGCCATAACTTTTTTTCAACTTCTTCTCCTAAGTATATTTTCATGATATAGATTTTATGTGATTTTTTAAGTGGCAGGGATCTCTTAATGGGGATCTGATCATCCAAAGCCTTCCCAGCTCTGGTTTATGAAGATTCAAATGGTGGAAAGTGACCGTGCCAGTCCTCACAAACTGAGACAGGGTTTGTTGACCAACTGTTGACAGAACAGGAGAACCCAAGATCTTTTCTACAAAGAAATTCAAAATGCCTTTTCTGTTAAGAAGTGGTATTTACAAATTAGAGTTCAATTCCAGTTCAAATAAAGATGTCTTTCATGATGACATTTATTTGGTTCATAATCTTAAAAAAGCATGTGATTTACTGTTCTTCTCATGGCAGGCCTTCAGTTTCATACATATGTATTTTGGTTTGTCTTTGACCTTTGCTTATTATTTTTAAATTTGCATGTTTCTCATAAATACAGGCTTTTTTCTTTTTTGGGGCATTCCTTATTGTGATATTCTCTCTTTAATGTGGTATAATTCTGAGAACAAGAAGTTTTGCAGAAGACCAGCATGAAAAGAATGAATGTCGAGACATTAAATGTTTACAGATCAGTTTAAGTGGATATAATCCACAACAAGTAACAAAGTGGGAACATTTAACTTCAAAGCACATATGGCTGCTGTTACAAAATCCAAAAATGCAAGACTTAGGCCATAACAAAGTATTAGAGACACATTTTCATTCCTTCTCATAAACAAATAGGATATACCTTAGCTTTTTAGACTGGTTTTGAAACAAAGGCTGTAAACAGCTGAATTTCATGGTCAGATAAAGTATTTGAATTAATTGTAAATATTTACAATAATTTTTAGCTTTTAAAAAGCAGATGTAAAGGATGTTAGTATTCGTTTTACATCAGAGACAGAGCTTCTGGGAAATAATTAAGCCTTTGAAATTTGGTTCTGCAGGCGTAGCCTTCTCCAAATTCCACCAGGTATTGGTGAAAGTCTTTTGAGGTTGTCTGCTGTTGAGTTTTCTGGGAAGCCAGAGCAGGGGTCTGCCTTTGACTTTTTGGCATGCTGCCTTCAGTCCTGAGTACTTGTACAGGTGCTGAGTGGGTGTGTGTGGGATGGATGGGGAAGTAGGACAAATGAGCTAGAAGGAAGAGTATAATACTTGTAAAATTAGATAATTTTAGATAGGAAATACTGCTACAGGTACAAATGTGTTAGGCAAAGAAAATACTTGTAATTTTTTTCTGATTTGGAATTTGTCTCTCTTGGTTTATCTGTATTTTTTTCTGCTGTTATCTATGTTCTGTGGTTAATGCCAAGTGATGTTCTCCCGCCAGTATTCCTCACCAATCTCTTCTTCTGTGTCTAAAATTATTAATTTTTTTTCAGTAGGTGCATACAAGATTCTTTTATTCACTAATATCTACATATGCCTTTTGCATGCCAATAATTTTTAAAAAAAAGACACCAAAAAACCCTGAAATAAAAAAAACCTGTTGCTTTATATGCAAGAAAGTTTAATGTATCTGTTTTAGTAAACTCATTGACAACAAAGAGAATTAGGTTCCTTGTTAAATTACTGGTTTTCCTATACTTTCAGCTATAGTTTTAAAATACTAGAGAACACTAATCACTGAAATTGAATGTATGTGTTAAACATGGGAATATCTACCAGTTTTTTTGGGTGAAATATAATGACTCTTCAACAGCATGTAGAAATCCTACATAACCTTTTAGGACAGGAAATGAATAATACTGTATCAAATTGAAATTTCAAAGGGATTAAGCCTCTTTTTCACTGGTAAATTCAACACACAATTTTATTTAACAGTACTGGAAAAGTGCTAGCATTTGATATATTTGCCATGCCCCACAGATCAATTTAATCTTTAAAAAAAAGAAAGAGTAGCTGTTGTACGATGTGTATTTCAATCACATTCCTATTCCAAATCTTGCTGCCACGTTTTACAAGATTATACCCTTGAAAGCTTTTCTTGGGTGTTATGCATTCTCTGTGATGTGATGTTTGAGCCTCATCGTTTGAGAAAATTAAAAAGATAGAGCTGTCTGATAGAGGAAGTGGGTTGTGAACAGTGTTTTGTATTCAGTTCTTAAAAATAGTGATTAAAAGAGCTGCTTTAATTATACAGTAGTGTTAATGAATTATTTCCTTGTGTTTTGTCTCTATGACTTACATGTGTGGATATAGTTTCAGTGCACTCAACTGTAATTTTTCAAAACCACTAGATTAAAATCTGTAAATTTATTCAATAAATGTATTTATTCTCTTCAATGAAGTTGGAAATCTTTTGCATAAGCTATGTATTTAGCTGCCAAATTCTTTTAAAACATGCATTGACAGAATTTTTCCAGCCACAAGGGTTTGGAAATAAAAGTGTAGTTTTTGATCCATTTGCATTAGGAAACACTAAAATTTTAAAACTCGCTGAGTAGGTCATGTCCAAAAAAATGATCTCTTATAAAGATTTTCTATTTCTGTAACTTGTAAAAGATTGGCAGCATGTTGTTGAACCTTTATGCACAAGAGAATGAATTGGTGTGTTACTTCATGTTACAGCCATGTATCTAGAGACAGTCCTGTTCTGATGATTTCAGCTTAACTCTGTTTTAATAGACAATAAAATTCCATAGTGGAAAGCAGTTCTTTGGCACACCCCCAAAATTGCCATTGCAAGTATTTTTTAATATTTGGAGATATTTCTTACTGTTTGTAAGACATAAAAAGACACTGCTGACATGATTATTTTTTCTCTCACTTGTTTTTCAGTTAGAAAATCCAAGATATTTGCGAGAAAAACCAATGCCAGTATCTTTGGTAGGTATTCCCTTGATGTTTTATAAGGGTGAACAAATATGCTTAATATTTTTCATTTCTAGTCAGGGTTCATTTTGCTTGGAGTTACTGTTTTGAAGTGAATTGTTTTGAACTTTTCCACAGATGACACCCAAACTTGACCTAGGAAAAAGCAGCACTTCTCGTGATGAACATGCCCTGTGTCGAATGCGTGAAAAAGAGGTAAGGTTCTTTATAGAAAAAGAAAATTATATTCAAATTGGTAAGTTAAGGCATTTCCTTTGGAAGGTGGTTATTCACAAAGCAGTTTGGTATAGCAGAAAATCTCACATAGGGGAATTTTTTCTGAGGTGACAGAGCTCTTCATTAAATACTTAATGTATTTCCCAGTTACTTAGGGAATAAAAGAGACTTTCTGAAGACATTTACTGCTCCTTTGAAGGAATCCACAGATCTAGATCTACTTCTATTAGGACCTACATTATTTCTATGTTTACCTCATTTACCTCTGATCCTCTTTTATTCATAGAGGTTTTTGTATCACTTCTTTTAGACATTGTTAATCTGTGAGATTACTGTCAAAGCTTGTTCATCTCATTCTCTCATTCTGTGTTATTTCGTTTGGAACACGTACAAAAGTGAAGATTTTTGGTCACTTTCACCTTTTTCATTGTTTAAGGAAGTTGTATGCTTATGATAGTTTTGCCATAAACTACTCAGTTGATTTAAGGCATTAATCATCAGATAAAATTCAAACATAGTAAGTTTAGCCCATAGATATTGCAGATTCTTCTGAAGCCACGTAAACATTATATTTTTTATTTCTGAAAAGTCAGTGAATCAATTATCTGGTGGACCAGACTTAAGGAAAGGAAATTCAGCATGTATTAGGAAAAAACAACCCAACGCTATTCTCTCTTTGCCCTTCAAATTTCTGATTTCAGCCATATGCTCTTGGATAATCAAGGCATATGTACACAGTTCCCTAGCTATCCACAAGTACTTAGACCTACTCAGAACTCCAAATATGTAGAAGTTGGGAAGGAAGGGGCATCATCTGCAAACTGAAATCATCTCTCCTTCTACATGGTACAAGGACAGTAGTGAATTAGAGCTGTCCTAAAGTTACTTTCAAGATGCTTCAGAAGACATCTTTAACTGAAATACAAGGGAAGCTTAGACCTACTCAGAACTCCAAATATGTAGAAGTTGGGAAGGAAGGGGCATCATCTGCAAACTGACATCATCTCTCCTTCTACATGGTATGTTATAAGGACAGTAGTGAATCAGAGCTGTCCTAAAGTTACTTTCAAGGTGCTTCAGAAGACATCTTTAACTGAAAACCAAGGGAAGGTAAATTTGATTTGTAGTTTGTTCCCTTGTTAATAAGGTAATGCATATGAAGATCTGCCTCACATGATAGTTGGCAGTCTAATGTGATGCTGAACAAGCAGGCTGATATGGCAGTTGCACAATAATCCATGTGCCTTTCACTTTCTGTGCTCTGGGTATTGACTGCTTGATTGTATTGACAATACTCAAACCACCATTGCCTTGGGATGAGGTAAGCTTTCATAAAATGTGAAAATGCACCAAAAAAAAATAAACTGAAAGCACAGTGTTGTCATTTAAATAATATTTTCAAATTAAATAAACAGGAATGCATGCCAAGTAGCTACGTAAAATACTCAGCGAATACTTTGCTAGTTCAGTGGAAAAATCCTCTAAACCACACAGTAAAAATTCATTAATTTTTGCCCATGGTACTCAACTGTGGGCTAGTTTAAACTGGAAAGGTTATAGACAGTATTTCACAATCACCATGTGTGTGCTATTAAGTAGAAAACTTAAATGTTTTCGTCTTATTTTGTTTGTGAAGCTCAATTAAGAATAAAACCATTTCGTTTATAGAATGTAAATGTATTAACAGAAAAATAGTGCTGTACGAGTGAGTTTTGGTAAACCTTTAGCAGTTTTCCACTTCTTTGTAGTTGAACAAGAGAGCATAAAATAGGATAACTGTGGTTTTTTGCTTTTAACCTCTAGACCTTTGTTCATAAACCATTCCTGCACCTGTTTTGACTCTCTAATGCTAAACACATGGCCATTTGCAGTGATAACCACATCACAGATTTATGAAAATGTGAATATCATCAAGCAGTGGTTCTGACTCAGATTTTCCCCAAATACTTCTGAAATGGATTAATCCATTTGGGAAACTGTCATTGCTGGAAAATCATAGGTTCAAACAAGGAAGATGCAACGCAACAGGGATATATCAGTTTGCAGCAGTGCAGCAGAACAGAACAGATGGCATCACTGGCTTATCTTGAGAAGCAGGAAAAAGCCTCCCTTTGAACTTCACCTTCGGTCATCCTGAGTGCCACCCAATACTCCACAGAGCAGAGGAGGGGGGAAAGAAAAAGTTCTTATTTGTCATTTTTTCAGAAAACCAGAACCAGTGTCACTGCTAAGATGTAGGTTTGAAATCCTTCAGGAGTGAAACCCCAAACTTAGCTATATTAATAAAATAAGACATTTTGTTAACCTTTCTCAAAGAATGACTCCATCTGAAGTATCCCTTAACGAAGTTTCGGTGCTTCTTTAGAGAAGTTCTGTTTCTTAATTCTTCATTTTGTCAGTCTTAATTTGTCTTAGTATTTTTCTCAATTTCCTTCTGTCTTTTTTTCTGTAAGCAAAGATGTTTACTTTATCTAGACTCAGCAAATGAAACCTAAATAAATCCAAGGCAGGAATATTGGAAATCATTTTCTTTATAGTCTTTTAAATTGAAGGTTGTAATTAACACCAGGAATAAATTTGTACTGAGGTATATAAAACCAATATTTTTTTTTTTTTTAAGACAAACTGGCAAGCTTTATGTTTAGTGCAAAAACTGTATTATGAAGCTTCATCTCCCTGGGTTAGCTGAGAACATCGAGTGTTTCCAATGCTTTTGTTGACTTTATCACTGTGCTCCTGTTGCTTGTCTCTTTTGATTTTTGGAAATGCAGTGGTGAAGTCTTTGGATGCTGGAGCACTGGTGCTTTTCCAGCTTCTCATACACTAAAGCAGTCTGGCAGAAATGGTCTGTGCTACTCTTGGCTGGAGCAGCAGTCGGTGCAGTGCAGCTGGAGGGGGGAAGAATTCTGGGGAAGGCAACGGATGAGTTTTCAAGAGGATACAGAATACCTGTGGGATAATGTCCACTAATTTGTCACATGGAATGTGGGCTGAGGAAGAGAGAGTGCATGCCCAGGGAATAGGGAAAGATAACTAGGAGAATGGGAGAAAGACATCATCTTCCCCTGAAAATGCATTTTTGTGGATTGAGGACTGGAAGTAAGATGGAAAGGAAGAGTGGGTGTTTTTTTTTTTTTTTTTAAATGTATTTAAGAATTCTATCTTTAATCTGCAGCCTTTTTAAAAAAAGTTTAGAACCTTTATCTTTGTAATCTTTTTTCCCTTCTTTTTTTCTGTGAATGAGCACTCCCATTTGCTGCATGACACACATTTTGTTTATAAAGATCATCAAGCCATGTATACAGATTTACTGCACCCAAAGTGTTGGGATCTAGTGGTATGTTTATGTTGAGATAAAATCACTGTGCTGCAGTGATGATGTTACAGTTAGGTGTTGGTCTGGCTAGAAGTGTTCTGCATTTAAGGTGTTGAAAGCAGCAGATTTACTGTGCTTCTCACTTGTCTGGCAAGAGATTATAACTTGAAATGGAGAGAGTTGCATAAGGGCTGTGATAGAGACTTTCCCCCAAATGGGACCATACATAGAATGTAGAGGAAAGAATGCAGGGAGGAAAGAAAGTAGAACTTTTGAGGGAGAATGAATAGCACTTGCTGGTGTTGATATAGAAAGAGGTGGAGTTTTTGAAGGAAAAACTATAAAAGAACACTTAAAGATAAAAATAAGTGTCCCTGCAGTTAGGAAATGGTGATTAGTAAGTATTGCCCTTTTGGTTTTGATTTCTTTCTCTTAATTGCTCTGTTCTGTAGCAAAGTATTTAAATACATGAATTAAATGTTTAATGCATGCTATATTAAAAGCAATAAATAAATAATATGGAAACAATATCCTAAAAGAATGAATCTTGTAATTAAACTGAGCTGTTACCAATGTAAAATTAACATTATTATGCTTTTAGCTTCTTCATGGATTTAATAGTTTTTTTTCCTCATTGAAAAGAGGTTTTTTGTTCTTATCTTCCAAGAATGGTAACAAAATATATCAGTATTGTTCTCTTGTATACTGTAATGAAAGTGTTTGTGTGCTCATGTCTATGTATGTTTCTAGAATTTAAATCTACTTGATGGATGGATGTAGATACATGTGATATAGAACTATGGAAGCTGAATACAGGTAAAGGAACCTACACGTAGGTTCCTACATGTAATGTGGCTGGTGATCCTGATTACGTGTTTTAAACTCAGAGATATTTACCAATGATAGCTGGAGAGTGTTTTTGATGGACTTTCTGAAAGCATTTGAGTTGCAAAGGCATCTGTAGGTGGGCCAAAAACTTCAATCTTACAATAAGTCAAGTTTTGTATGTTGGAATTTTTTATTTCTGATCTGTCTGTCCTATATTTCCATGTCTCCTCCCTTACTGTTCCCCTTCCTTTGTCATTCTGATCATCCAGAACTATCCAAGTTATATTCTCCTCATAAACATCTTGCTGTTTTCCAAGGGGTAAAAATTGTTGAAGTTTTCAGTTCTGGTGAGTATTCTTGTTCAAGTGTAAGGATGCACACTGCACTCTGTTCACACAAGTGTGGCCTATAAGAAGGGACAAAAAAAAAATTCAAAAAGGCAGATATGACATAATTATTGTTTTCATCTTGTTATTTTACTATTTGTAATTTTTTTTCTCAAGACAACTTTGTTCTGAAAATGCTGGGTTTTATTCCTCTTAAAAATATTGCAAGCAGTGTGTATTATGACTTGGAATATTCTCTGGTTCATTTGAATTTTACCCACAAACCTGATGTCCATTTTGAATGTAGTGTCTGATTTATATTGAGAATACAGTTGTAAACTGATTCTCACCACCAAGTAATCACTCTGACTAGTAATCTGTTAGTTCTTGTTTAAAAACACAGCAATCTTGACTTCTGTTAACATGATTCCTGGCTGATTAATGTCCTGTTTGTAAGAACATATGCAAGTTGTTCATTGTCTTCTGAGGAAATCACATCCTGTCTTGCT